ATCAGCGCAATAGGTACAGAGGGGAGAGAAACTGTCTTCGTTCGGTTCGGCAGAAGAAAGCCGAGAAAACAAATAGGAAGAGCACTAACTAATTAAGTAAATATATAAAAGCTATCACCACCTCGAGCAGTAAAACAAAGTCGTTATGGCTATGTTACTAACATAGACAACTATGAATGGTATTCATTGACAGGAGTGACCGCTTTCTAGTCGTAGTTGGTACCGCCCCTGTTCACTTCAGCATGCAAGGAAGACCTTCGGGAAGAATCAAAGGTTTTCTCCTCTGCAAAGCTATCAATGCTTTAGTCAAGATCTTTAGCAGTCGATCGTTCATTTTATCTCGGGAGACATGGCTTCAATTCAATCATTCTCTCCGGCTTTTGAGATAGTCCTTTGATAGAGCAGCCTGGTTGGAAAGGATCTTGTACCTGCCATGTCAAGGTAAGGGCATCTCGCATATCAAGTTACTCTATCGATTATCGATAGCGTAATATAGCCCAACACAGAGAAGGAACAGGGTCGGTAGGTAATTCATCTTCGTTTGGATAGCAGTACGGTACACGCATCAAGATACGTGCTTTTCCACTCGAACCATAACCGGAACTGTAACCTCCATCTAGACCTAAACCTGACACCCGCATACCGCATATGCCATTGGTTTGTCGGTCGTTGTGTAGAAGTTCATTCGTGGTAAGCCACGTAAGGAAGGGCTCGCCGGTACCTTACAATTATTTGAAAGAGATTCACGTCGCCAGGGAGTACGTGTCACGAACGATTCGTTGGTCGGGTATAGGCGAAGTGCTCCCAGTATTCTTTTTTACGCAATTCTGTTGCTTTATTTATCCTATGGGAAGTTTGGAAAGACCGCAATTCCATTATTCATGACAATGTAAAGCTCAATATAGTGAAAACGAGACATAAAATTTTGAAGTGGCTGCTTGACACTGTGGTTCTTTTCCACCCGGCTGGGTTTACATGATCAAGCTTGCCTTCATGCTCTTCAGGTTCCTATTATTTCCCCTAAACCTAAGAGGGGACGTAGGGTTAGCATCCACCTGATATTGGCTTTTTCAAACTCAATGTGGACGGTTCCGCTATAAATGGATTCATAACAGGGGGTGGTGTTATCAGGAATTACCAAGGTCAGGCTATTTTTTTTTTTTTTTTCTTTCTTCGGGTAAGAACATGCAAGCAGAAGCTCGGGCGTTAATCACTGGCTTGGATCTTGCCTCCCAATTAGGCATACCCCTCTCATGTATGGAACTTGACGCTCAAGTCTTGTTGCATTTCATTCATACAGGGAGCTCCCCTTGGAACTTGGTATATTTGACGCGATCATGCAAGTCTCTCTTATCTCCTTCATGCAATCTTTCCCGCATCTTGCGAGAAGGGAACAAAGTAGCAGATTCGCTGGCATCCTTTGCTCACGCTCATAGGGACAGCATGGTGTTCTACTCAGAAGAGAAGTTTCCCACTTGCTGCAAAAGTCATCTGCTTCATGATGCTTTGGGCTTATATAGCTTCCGACCATCATAGGTCTTTTAGCTCTTTTCTTTATGATTATGTAGCCTATGGGCCTTTTCTTTGGAGGTTTGGCTTAAATCCCCCTCCAGTTACTTTCATTTTAGATCCTATTAATTTAAGGCTTTGCCTTTCAAATAAAAAAAGAAAGAACAAATTCGAACCGGCCTTTCCTTTGATAGTCGACAAGCTTGACTTATAGCGAATTCCATAGAATTGGGCCGGCCGCCTGGAATCAAAAGACTTTCGAACCCATTGAAGATCCTTGTGGCTCCGGATTCCTCCAATCCAGCCGATTCCGAATCGACCAATTCCGGGATCTTTTGCAGCGAAGGCCTGTCATCGAATTCTTCAAACCTGGGGCATGTCGATCCTGAATGAAACTAAACATCATTGATCCTACTATCAATCAATCCGTCATACAAAGGCCTAACTCCGGCTCTCTCTACGGGTGGAAGGGGGGCAACAGCCTTGTCAAGGCGCGGGCCAAGCCCACTCAAAGTGAAGCGATTTATACCGAGCAAGAACCTGCACTAGAATAGGAAAAGCCAGACATTCCTTCTTTTCAGAATTCCAGTCCTGCGGGCCTGCCCGAACTGTCAGTGATTCAAACAAAGACGCGGGTGCGAGTCTTCCTCGGTTGAAGTCAAAAAAGTCCTCCTCCTTTATCTTATTCCTACCATCCGGGGCGAAAGGATGAGACGGAATAGCGTGTCATTTCGGAACCGTTCATAAGCTTTCCCTTGACTAATATAAAAGTAAAGGCAGCTATCTGGAGAATTTTGGGCCGAAGGCATCACAAGATCGAGAGGAGCCATCTTGATTCGGACTAGAGGAGGAAGGAACCTGAGCCCATAGGTGTAGGAATCAATCAACTGTCTCGTTGCCAATTAGAGTAGAGCCAAAGGCAGCTATCGCGATGAATTGTTACAATGTGTGCCTCCTTCTGGGGAAGCGCGCATGCAGGTGCAGGAAGGAAGCTTCTGCACAGCAGACAATGAATCTATGGGTCCCATGCCTTGTTAGACGACCCGTGCCTTCATCCAAACAGGTGCCTCCTAGGCGGAGAGGAGGGCTTAGGATCGCCTTTACCAGGGGGATGAGGACGAGACAGAGTTGACTCCCGCGGCCTCTCGTAGAAGAGGGGGAAAGCCCAGTCTTCTATCTCAGTCTCAACAGAAGGTAAGAGGAAGGGCCATTCCCTCTTTCCTTCGGGAAGGGCTTAAAAGCGCCTTCATCATGTCAAGCTTCAGGCAACCGATTGGCTCCAAGGGACTTTAGAAGAAGAGCAATGAGCGTAGTGTTGAACTCTTTCAGTAAGCACCCCTTCCGAAATAGAAATCCATCCTTGATTGCCATCGATATTTCCTCCCCAACTAGCCCCTTATTAATATAAAATGAAAGAATAAGTTCGGGAAACCGTCAGGCCCCACTCAAACTAGCTGCCCTGCCACCTTAGAATTATAAAGAAGCATTTCTTAAAAAAAAGAAAGAAGCCCGAATGCTCAAGCTCAATATCATATGGGTTGTGTTCTACCAACGAGCAGCCAGGAGCCTAAAGAAAGCACTGAGAAAGAGATAAGTGTTCCGTATAGGTTCGTATATATATACTGTGGCGCTATATGATCTTTAGCTATAGGTCTCGTGTGCTTGCTATAGAAAGTACATATACGAGTCACGAGTAAGAGGAAGTGGTAACGGTCGATGGATGTTCATATTTGAGTATTTGCTGACGGGATGCCTCACATCAAGGTGACAGGATTCGAACCTATGGCCCTCTGTACCCAAAACAGATGCGCTGACCAGACTGCGCTACACCTCGTCTCACCACCCCGGAGCATATAGATCCACCCGATCGATGAACACTCAAACCGAACTCACCCATCCTTTTGGGCACAGGGACGCGAGAACTAAGAAACAGCTTTTTTTTCTAAATCTGCCTCCAGCAAGATAGGGCGACGCAAAAAAGCCGTATAGTGCAGGAGCGCTCACATTTTTTGGCTTACTCTTGCACTTTAATTTTAAAATCCGGCTCGCTCCCGGCCTTTGGACCCTTGGCCGCTTAGAAGTGGATTCGAACCACTGACACAAGGATTTTCAGTCCTTTGCTCTAACCAGCTGAGCTACCTAAACCACTTTCCTAAAATATGTTTTATTCATCGAATAGCGCCCTACCTTACCACTTGACTAGTAAAAAGCCCTTGTACTAAAAAAAATAGAATATATAGGCCTTTTCCGCTTCTTCGTCAAGCTTTCGAGCAGCTCTTTCAACTGCCGCCTAATCCCCCAACATGCTCAAGAACCGAGAGCCGCCCAGGGACTTGACTCCACCAAGAGGTTCTTTCTCTCACGTCATTTTGCCCGCCCGTTTCACTTCTGTCCCGGAGGAAATGGGATTCGAACCCATGCATGATGCAATCTTCTTGTATGTCGATTTAGCAAACCAATGCCTTAAGCCACTCAGCCATACCTCCAAGTTGTTGATCGGAATGGAATTTTATGCGCCGGGTTTGGTTGGTTGCCCGAAGGGCTATCTGATCCGATCAACTGCGTAAGCCGTAGCGCGCTAGCGCGCGTACTATTCCGGGGACTCTATCCAGATCTATGGATCTCCCCAGCATCCAAGCGAGACTCCATCAAAATCTGCCACTCGTTGGGCGACGCCTTCTTTTCTACGAACACCCCACCACTGAATGATGAACTTTGCCAGTTTTCGCCTCCGACCCGACCAGGAGAGAACACAGGGTCAAGCCAAGCCCTTACCCGCCTGAATGGAATTCATATCTCCTTCGTCTGGTCGAGAAGGGAGAAAGCCCGTGGAACTGGACTGTGACTCTTCTATTACATTATGGAGAAGTCCATTCTCGTCATGGTCGATCCACGTCCTACCGTAGTGCCCGGAGAACCAGGCTTGCTTAGCTTACAAAGCTAGCTTACTAACGCGAATCCTTTTTTATTGATTGCACGAGCTAGCCAGCAAGCCAGCAAAGCCCCGACGCTTAATCGCTTCATTTAGGCACCTACTGACACTAAAGCCGTTCCACTCGTGCTTCTCTAACGAGAATCACTTCGTTCCACTCTCCCAACAGGCCAGCAAGCCATTCCTAGCGGCTTAGCCCTTGTTAAAGGCTAAAGAGCGTACTGAACACTCACCCTTTCTCGCCAGCAAGCTAAGCTCCTAGTCCTCTTAGCCGGCTTACCTTTAACCTAACTCTCTAGTTTATGGCCTAAAAACACGGGAAAACACTACTTTTTGATCAAAAAACAGAAGGCCATTTAAAAGCTCTTTTCTTGTGTTCTTGAGTACACGTTAGGATATTACTTCAGGGGCTATCCAAGCCATTGAGGAGCCTGCTCAAGCTGCTGAGGATGATGAATGATCCTAGAGGCTCTTCTCCCGTATGAGATCTTATAACCGGGAAGCGTAGGTAGAACTTGTGGAAGGAAGACACTGGCGAGTAGACCTGTGAGAGCCCCCCATCAAAGGTCGATATCTTACCTTTAAAAGCGGGTATAAGAATTGGAAGTCGGGATATCCCAATCTTCCAGCTCTCAAGCAGTTCAGAAGATTCATCCCTCATGAAATCCCCTTTGCTCCTGCTTTCATCTACCCCTATGCTTCTGCTTTCTTCGTCTATGCCTATGCCTCCAGGGAGGGATCCAATTTCCTGTCCTTTTTTGGAATCGTTGATACATATGTTATGTTACGATGGCTTCGGATGAGAGAGGGTGGTCGTAGATCATAGTTCTGTAGCGAAGCTAGGCTGTTGAGTTTGAGCTATGAGTTCTGACCTGAGCTAGTCTTTCAGATTAGGCAGGGAACATGAGGGACAGTTCCTCACTACCGAAATTCCCTTACAGTTCTAGAAGGTAAGAGAAGCTAGGGCTTTTGAGTTCCAGTAATCAAGCCAAACTGGAGTTCTGGAGAGAAGGCAGTGAACGGAGTTGGCGGTTCGAGTTCTTGGCAGGACGGATGGGGCCCAGAGTTAACAAGTAGCTTGGCTCAACCTTCGCTTTCCTTTGACAAGGCAGCTAAGGCTCCAGCTTCGCTTTCTACTTCGCTGCCTTTCTCTAACGAGACAAGTAAAGTACCTTAATTCACTTACAGCAAGATAAGGTATTTCAAGCGGGTGAAAGTATAGAGCTACTAACCAGAGTCAGAAAAGTTGGTTGGCATTCAAGCAAGAGAGAAAGAAGTCCCGATCAGGCTACAAGTGGGACTAGAAGCGAGGGCCGCTATTCCGGTCAGCTTGTTAGAAAGGGAACTAGCACCCTAAAGACAGCTACTCTCGCTTTCTAACAGTAAACTAAACTGCCTTCCGGTCGCCTCACCAACGCCTTCTCTCCCTATCGGTCGAACTTTTCCATCCTCTCCCGTTGGGAAAGGGGATCGATTACCTTTCTTAGCTAGGAGAAAGTCACTGTCATCGCTCTCTCCTTGAATCGCTCGGAAATCGTACCTAGCCTCTCGTCCATAACCTAGCCCGAAGCTCTCAAGCGACTGATTTCACACAAGTAGTAGGACCTTCTTTTATAGTGGAGTTAGAATAGGCTCTAGAATAGTCGAATTAATGGTCAGTCTCGCTCTCCACCCTGCTGCTAGATGGGGTAGGGCTTTTCACATGCTTGAGATAAGACAGATCTTTTTTAGGCATTAAATAGGCCGAGAGAAAAGTCTCATTTTTACATAGATGAGCAGCAACTTTAGAAATGAATGCTCAAGTCTGTCACTTAGAAGATAGGATGGTATCGACCCGGACAAGGGGGCAAGATCCGCTGGCTTAGGGCCCCTTTAGTAGGGAGCAGAATCGGTAGGTTCCTTTCCGCCCATCGATTCAATAAGATCAGTTCAATCAGTAAAGATCGAATTGAAATCTATTATTATCATAGACAAGACAGGGGAAGATGCCCCCAATAGAAGGCAATTTTTTAATGTACCAGAGAATAGGCAGGTTTAGAGTTAGAGGAATATCAAGAATTGGAATATCAGTCAGAAATTGAATAAGAGAAGCAAAGACGGGTTATAGTATAGTAGAATCAGTAATCATCTAGCGGGACGGTTTCACTTATAGGTCAAGGGTCTCGCCCATCTCTATTCGCCTATCCTCTCCCTTCCGGTCGAGCTAGTTTTTATTCCTCTATCTAGGCCAACATTCATTCTAAGACTTTCACCAGCAAGGGCTGAAAGAGAAGAGCAGTCGAAGTCCCCGCCACCCCGCGGATCTCAATGATGCGACGGCACCTGGAACCACACTGCTGCCGCGCGCTTACCACTCACCCACGCTCTTGCAGCATGCCCTTCGGGCAATACGGCTTTCGTGCGAAGCAGCTGAGCGTCTTCGATCACTATATTCTCGCGATAGCGAAGGTTTAACAACGAAGTTACGGCTTTAGGCGAAGAGCGAAAGCCTTAAGTCTTATTGTTGTGTTCTCGAAGACAACTTATAGCGGGCTCGAGAGACCTCTCCCTTCATTCCTCGATCCGGTTGGTGATGACCAACTACCCAGTCCGATTTCTGGTTCTTCTTCCAGATATTGGGGGAAGACCAGCTTAGCCTGCTACATCAAAGATGAGTTATTCAGTTTCTTCTTTCAGTGTCTATGCCCGTAACCGGATGCGGCTGGCGAAGGAATGAAGCTACGAGCCTAATCTATGGTAGAGCTGGACAGGTAAGGTCGGGTCTATTCCTTCCATAAGGTAGGGTGGGTCAGCTAGTCTTTTTCTCCTTGATGGGATGGGTACCCAAGTTGACATCTTCAGTGTCTTCGATGATGGCTTTTTATTTTTCTTCAAACCTCTCGAATACACACACGTTAAAATTATTATGAACTAGAGGGCTTAAAAGCGCCTTGGCCTCATGTATTCTGCTTCCCACTGCTTCTGAGTAGGCTTGATTTTTGGGGGTTTTGGCAAAATATGAGGGGTAAGGGTCCGAAGAAGTCTTGGAAAAATAAAGTACTTTCATAGATAAAAGAGGGATTTCGCCTGTCTTGTCTTTTAAGCAAATAAATAGGCTAAGGTAAGTATAATAATAAACATCAGTGCACCCCACTGAGTCACCTGCTGAAGGTGGTCCGACCAAAGCTACTAGGAGGAATGCCCAAAGGGCGAGTAAAGAAAGCAAAAGCATCACTAAGACCGTCTCATGAAGACTGTAGTCTGGAATGTCATGGGGTTAAACATGAAAGAGAAAGATAAATAGTGGAGGGATCCCAATATCCTCCTAACAGTCAAAGTTTTCGAAAAGACTGACCGGATGTGAACTCTTTGCTGCTATAGAAAGCGCAACTAGATCCAAACTGGTACCTTGGATATAGACTGCTTTGAAGCTAGGATAGGCGGCCCTCCATCGTCTAAGGATCCGCCTTGTCCACCTCTTAAAGGCCGACTAGGGCAGAATTTGGAATGAGGTGGCAAGCAAAATTCTAACTTTTCCATTATATTATATCAATCAGCGGTTGCTTAGGCCGGTTCATGACTGGGCAGGTCCTTTCGAAGTGACCGATGGATCTTTTCATTAGACTACAGAGCTTGGCTTGATCGGTTGATTGGCGAGCAGTTGCTAGATGGCCTTGAGTCGTTCTATTCGAAGTCTTTCAATCTCTTTTTCAAAGAGTCCTTTGCCTCTATGTAAATTCAGCACTAGCTTCTAATGTAATCGGAGTGATCTTTTCAAATAAATAGAAAGAGACGGTTTTCTTCGGTTTGACGATCCTAGTGTGAGTGGATGCGTAGTTTGAAAGTATTGCCACTTGAATCAGGGGCTTCCACGCTTCTGGCTGACTGTAATAAGGGCTAAAACAAGGATTCAACAAGGGATATGAATGGATGGTCTGACTTTCCTCTCAATCGAGTGTATTTACATACTCCGCTTGAACAGAAAGCTTTCAGGTTTTTTCCGTAAAGAAAAGATTTGCATGATCGATTAGTGAGCATCACATCTCGGGCAATCAATCGGTCCTTACTTGAAAAGCGTGATAACAGGGTTGGCTTTCAAAGAGATAGACTATCACTGGATTACTTGCTCAGTTCCTCAATCAAACTGCTTTCTCATTTGACTTCGCCTCTTCATACGGTCTCGGGCTAACTTTTAACTAGCGCTATTTTTCTTGAAGGAATGGGGTAAGGAACACTGTACATGCGAGCGGTCAAACTCTCTCTTTGTCATGAAAGGCCTTCCCTTAGAGTCTTAATGTTCATAGCTATCGTTACAAGAATTCCCTTCCCCCTCCCATTGAATGCTTATAGAAGGGGCCTACGGAGTCCCGCTTTGATTCATTGAAGATTGAAGAAGGCTGCTTCACCAATCCAGGTTAAAACATTCCGGATTTTATCTATAAAAGAAAGGAAGAATTGGATAGTTGGCCTCTCTAGAGATCGGATGGTTGAGGAAGGGCTAATATACACCATTCGAGAAAAGAGAATAAGCCATGCTAATGTCATGGAAGAAAAAATATGGTTTAGGCACGGATG